ACACTTCAGGATTTGTCATCCAGCACTCTGCCCACTATGGTAGTTTTTTTAGTTTACTGGTGGGAGAAGCCAAGCCAGTAAGACAGTGTTCGCGCCTTTTAAGAAGTGGCTCTCACAGGCAGCACACTTCTGACACACTATACTGTCCTTAGAAATTGTTCAGACTTTACAGTAAAATGAAACTAAAAGAAAATGGGAAATTATGCTTCTAAAGCCAGCCAACTCCCAGATGGACAGCCACCCACTGGAACTCCACTGGCTTCATGTACAATACGTATGGAGCCAACACTTTCAAGTACTTAATAAAATAGGAAGGTTTAACTAAAGATAACTTTAATCTTAAAAAGGCCCAAATGGGGAACATTCAACCTATCCAACTAGCTGACTTGCACACAAAAGTGGAAAGAGCAGGCTATAAAATTAAACCAATAGAATAAGAAGCATATGGTAATTGGTATGTAGAAGCTTTAAAATGCGGTGATAATAAAATGACATATTTACAGGAAACTAATCAAAAATTGCTAGAGACTGTGGCTAAATTAGAGAAAGGAGAATTCAGAGGCCGCCCCACCTCCTTCACCTCCTCCACCACCTCTGCTGCTCCTTTCAGCACCTCAGAGCTCACCACTTCCCCCTCCACCTCTTACTTCTCCTTAAGCACCTCCTCCTACACGTCCTTTTTTGGCAACTTTATATCCTTTCCTTTCGGAACTTCCCTGCCTGACTCGTTACTTTGCTTCCTCCTCCTCCTCTACTTCTAGAGGAAACAATAAGTAAATCCCAGGGAACTAATAATGAAAGTAAATCTCAGGAAACAAATACTGGAAATCCTAAGGTCATTGTGGCTCCCTTTAAAGAGAGCTATTAGAAGAGGTGAGCCTGCACTTGTATATACTCCTGGACTAGAATTGAACTTAAGAATTTAACTAAGGACTTCTCAGACGGTTTAGAAGATCCTTGAGTCTTTTGCTGAGGAATTTAACCTAACTCTTAAAACATATGAAGGAAGATACTCAGATTTATATCAGCTTGTACATATTCTATTCTCCAAAAGTAAAGCTAAAGATTGGCTAAAGGAGGCAAATTGAAAAGCACCCATGGAAGATTTTCATAAACATGAGCTTGCTGACCAAAAAAAGTGCTAGGAAATTACTTTCAACTTCTACCAAGCCATTCCCAGGATATCTCCTAAGAAAATAGAGTGGACCAAGGTCCATCAATATAAAGAGAAGCCCAGAGAAACTATTTTTGATTATTTTGATATATTTGAAAACACCTTCAAACCTTCCTCTGGGATGGCTCCTGAGAATTATCTGCATCATCAAAATGATCCAAATTTACATTCCATCTTTCTGGAAGGATTAGGTGAGGAATTAGCAAGGCTAATCAAAAGACATGAATTGGATTGGGCCACATTACATACTAGTGCACTTGTCACTTTTGCAGATAAACTCTCCAAAATTTTAGAAAAGAAAGAAAAAGAGAGAGCCACTAAGGTTATGAGTGTACAACTGCAACAACTTAGTGGCCTAAATAAGACATCTCTTTCCAACCCAGACCAGAAGCAAAGTGACCACACTTGTTTCTATTACAAAAAGTCTGGTCATTTGAAACTACAATGAAATGTGATACTGCAAGCTTAAATGGGATTTAGAACATGCAAAGTTAAAAAAAAAGATGGCTGCTTCGAGAATTATGAGAGGGCATTTCCATTCGTCTTCACTAGTAACTTAGGGGGGAAATTGAAACAAATATCAGAGGCGAAAATGCAAAAGCCGATGTTGGTACCGAAGCTATATTATCTATTCTTAACCCTAACCCTTTTTAACTGCCCTCTCCCTCAGACTAGCAATCAACTCACATGATAGGGGTTTCTGAATTACCAAGGCCAGTCTTTAAATCAGAGCTGATAACCATTTAATTAAGAACCATCACAGGGAAACACGTGTTTCTCTTGATAAAATGCGCTCCAATTCCTTTGATTGGACGAGACCTCCTAGAAGCATACAATGCCCATACTGGCTTTTTAAAAATGGGTTAAATGCTTCCAGATTTAGAAAATTTGGACGCTGACCAAATGTTAATTACTCAACAATTGACAATTATAAAATCAAGCATTCAAATAGACCAAGAAAAAGTTGATGACCTCTTGTTGCATGTGCCTAAATCTCTGTGGTCATCATCTTCTTCAGATACTGGAAACATTACATAGGATAAACGTATCAAAGTGATTGTTGACAGCCCTAAGCCTCTACCTAGTATTTGGCAATATTCACTTAAATCAGAGGCAAGAAATGGCATAAGACAGCTGTTTCAGGGATTTCTTGAGAAGGAACTTATAATTCCTTGTACCAGTCCTTGTAATACACCTATTGAGCTATAAGAAAGCCAAATGAAAAAGGCTGGAGATTTCCTCAAGATCTGAGAGCTATTAAATAAGACTGTGATTCCTCGACATTCTGTGGTCCCAAATCCACACACTCTGCTCTCAGCCATTCCAACTAACAGCTGCTATTTTTCTGTATTTGATGTATGCAGCACCTTCTTAAGTATTCCAGTAGAAAGACAGTGAATATCTCTTTGCCTTTATGTAGGAAGATACTTTTACTTTTCTCGAATAGTCAAGGCTGATTTAGCTAACGTAGATTTTCATAGCAACTCTGTCTTAATTCAATGTGTTGATGACTTGCTCTTATGCTCAAAAACTGAATTAGACTCACAAAAAGACACAGTCTATCTGCTACAACAACTTGCATCTAAGGGACATAAAGTATCCAAAGATAAACTCCAATTTTGTTGGCCTATTCTGAAATATCTAGAGCAACTAACATCTAAAGATCAACGAGTAACTGATTTTGAACGGATTGTAAGAAGTTTGGCGTTTCTTTCCCTAAACAAAACAAAAAAAAATTGAGGGAATTTCTAGAACTAAGTGGATATTACAGGACTTGTGTGCCTAACTTTTCACATACTGCTCAACTATACATGAATTACTTAAGTCCAACCACCCTGACCTGATTGCATGGACACCAAAAGGAGAGAAAGCAGTAAACACCTTAAAGTCCATCTTGGCTCAGGCACCAGCTTTAGGACACCCTAATTAGAGCTTGCCATTTTTCCTATTTTTGAAGGAAAATAAAAGAAATACTTTAGGTATTTTACCCAAAACATGGTAATCAACATTGGCCTATAGGATATTATAGTCAGCAATTCAATTTAGTAGCAAAATGACTTCTACCCTGTGTCAGAGCTATTTCAGCAACAGCTCTCTTATGTAAGGCCACTGAAGAGATGGTGATGGGGTCTCCTTTAGTTATTTATGTCTCACACTCGGTTGCATCTTTTCTAAATTCTCACCACACTCAGATTACTAGGTAATCCAAATAACCACTTATGAAGTTTTGCTGCTTTCTACACCTGATACTACCGTATCCTGATATAATAATCTTAACCCTGTACTTTGCTTTCAGCACCAGAGGAAGACAATGACTATGATTGCATTTTAATAATAGATTACCTTTTTGCTCCTAGGAGTGATCTACAAGAAACTTCTATTGATAAATGTTGATGTAATTTGGTTTACTGATGAGTCTTACCTAAAGGATTAGCGAAGACATTACTGGGCTGGAAATGCAATAATGTCCTGGACATAACTGAGAGCTCTTATTTACCAGAAAAAAAGTCAACACGGCAAGATGAATTAATTGCTTTAACTTGAGCTTGTCAATTGGCTAAAGACTAGGTTGCAAATGTTTATACTGACAGCCATTATGCTTTTGGAGTATATACGATTTTGCAATGCTATGGAAATATTGGGGGTTTATAAAATACTCAGGGCAACCTACAAAAATGGAAAACAGGTTGTAAAATTATTAAATGCTATACCACTACCAAAACAAAGGCAATTAATAAAATACTGGGGCATTCAGAATGTGACACTATAGAACCCAAAAGAAATCAACTTGCTGGTGTAGCTGCTAAGCAGGCAGCTTTAAAAACTTATGCTGTTCAGCCTCAAGAACTCCCACTTCTCTCTGTTAACCATGCTGCCCAGGGAAAGATTTCTGTCTCAGTCTTGAGAAACTGCCAAAGAAGAAGAGAAACAAATATGATAACAAAGAGAGGGAATGTTGACCCAACCATACAAATGTGGTTTGGGCCCAATAAAAAGCCCATAGTGCCTACTGGCCACAATTGCCACTGCTCCAGCATGTATATCAACTAATTCATCAGGCACTTGAAAAGATGAAATTGTGGGGAAATAATATTTTTGGAGACTTGCTCCCACAGTGGCTCATAAAACCTAAGGTCATTGTACTATTTGTCCTAAATATAATCCCCAAAAAACACTTCACGGGTCACTAGGCCACTTTCCCCTTCCAAAGGGACCCTTTGAGGTATGGCAATTGGACTTCATTCAAATGTCACTATCTCAAGGATGTAAATAAATCTTAGTAATGATTTGTGTGTTTTCACATGAGTTGAGGTTTTCCCTTGCAGAAGAGCAACAGCTCTAACAGTAAGGAAATTGTTACTAAAAAGAATAATCTCTGTTTGGGGAATTCTTTGCAGTTACACAGTTACTGGGGAACTCATTTCACTGGACAAAAAGTTAAATCTATTTGTGACTTTTTGCCAATAGTGCAGCACTTTCACTGCACTTACCATTCCCAATCCTCAGGATTGGCAGGAAAAACTAATGGCACAATGAAAACTCAACTGGCAAAACTTTCATAAACATTTACTTTCTCATAACCAAAAGCTCTTCCACTAGTGATCCTCAATCTCAGATCTACACACTTTGGTAAACATTGGCTGTCTCCTTTTGAAATAATAACAGGATGGCCTCCACAATTAGGTGAGGAGATACATGAAACAACTTTGCTCAGGGAGATATCTTGCAATATTGTCAAGGTCTTATTGAGACACTAAAAATAAATTAAAAAATGGTCACAGATTCTTTCACAGTGACCTCCCAGGAGACGAAGACCTTAAGGATCATGGACTACGACCTGAAGATTTTGTTTATTGGAAGAGACACCAAATTCAAGACTCTTTACGGCCTCACTGGAAAAGACCATTCCAGGTACTTTTAACCAATCCATGCATTGCAAAATTAAAAGGCATAAACTCATGAATTCACATTTCTTATTTAAAAATGAACCCTCCTCCTGAGTGGATATCAACTCCTGTTACAGACACCACATTTTGACTGACTAAGCCAAGTACTACCAAGCCAGGATGGGAAGCAGTTGACATCTGTTATAGACAGCTGTCCCAAGTTCCCAGACCAGGCCTGTGTTCCCAACCTTATACCTCCTCATTTAAACCATTGTAATGCTTAAGCTGAATACAATTTATATTTGCTATAAGAATGATCTTCTTGACTATCTTAACAATTTTAATATTTTTACGTTATGCTAGTCACCTTTCTTGTGTTTTAGATAGCCATTTTGGTACCTTTGAATTATTATTCCTGTACCATAGTACTTTCTTTCTACCCCTCTAGACTAAAATAGATCAGAGCTTAAGTACAAAATCTTTTAATTAACTAACAGAATATCATTAAACGTTTATCTGATACTTTGGTTGTTTATTCAGTCCACATCTGAGTGGACGTCTAATGACAATGTCTTCTTGCAATGGACTCATTCTGTTGCTTCACATAATAATCAGTCCAGTTGTTGGATATGTGAGCCAACTTCCTGTTTCTAGTACTTCTCATTTACCTTAGTGTGTTTCTCCCTTTTGAGGTACAACTTGGAAAGCTCTAAAACAATTAATTATGACAGAGAAGTCTAGTTCCAATGTTCACAGTTCATGTGATATTACTAATTATTATCCTGAATCCTGGCCAATAGCCAAGACTATTAATGGTAGAGGACATGGTTCTTCCTTTTCTATTGCTCAAACTATTCATTTATCCCAACAATTTGCCACTAAACAAAAGAAATTGGATTCTACAACAAGAACTACGAACGGTTTCACACAAATCTGGGATGGATTTGTTTGGGTTACTCCTTGTTAGGGGTCTTGAGGTACATCAGCACCTGGGAAGAGAATAAACATTCTAAACAAAACTTACCTCCCTGTACCTGAAACACGGGATGGATACTCCCTGAATCACGTCAACATATTTTCATTCTTAAAGAAAGTGATAGGTTAGGAACAGACTGTTCTCGAAGGCCAAGGATTTATTAAGTGGCACCCAATGGAACTCAACGGTTATGTGGAACAGATCTTTGGCCTTGGCTACCACCTTGATGGCTAGGATGCTGTTCCCTGGGGTTCCCTTGGATGCAGGGAAGAATTTATCCTAAATTAACAACTGTTGACAATCTTTCTCTCCTTAAGCCCAGATAGACTTGTTCAGTGTTCCATTGCTATGACCGCCTATCAGTTATATTTCTTCCCTCATAGGATTGGAAGAGGTCATGTCACATATAGAAGTCCTCACTAAATTTACTCAGCAGATCTTTAATGATATCTCAACAAGAATATCTTTACTGAATACTGAGATGTCCTTAATGATAAAGGCTGTCCTTCAAAATAAAATGGACTTAGATATTCTAACTGCATCCCAAGATGCTACTTGTGCTATAATTCAAACTGAACGTTATTTTTGTACCTGATGAATCTTCCAATCTGTCGTCTCAGTTAAAACACATGAAAGGGCTGGCCCCGTGGCTTAGCGGTTAAGTGCGCACGCCCCGCTACTGGTGGCCCGGGTTCGGATCCCGGGTGCACACCGACGCACCGCTTCTCAGGCCATGCTGAGGCCGCATCCCACATACAGCAACTAGACATACAACTATGTCTAGTGCAGCTATGACATACAACTATCAACTGGGATTTTGGGGGAAAAAAAATAAAATTATTAAAAAAAAAAACACACATGAAAAAACAGGTGACTGCCCAAAGCGATCCCTCACCAAGTCTCAATTTGTTTAGTTGGCTCCACTCAGATATTCCTTCCCTTCTGTGATCCAGATTACAATTCTTATTTTTGTTACTTCTTGGAATTCTTGTATTAGGCATAATATTCAAGCTAATTACAGTTTTCTTTACTCAATGTTACACGACTGATATGCAAGATAGAGCAAGGATTACTCAACAACTTGAGATGGTTGATCATTCTTACAATTCTGAATGAGCCGCTTTTTCTGATCAAGATTATGCTTAAGACTTATTCTTCTGAACTAAACACTTTATTATAATTACTACTATATCTGTTTTATCGTTGTTCACTGTCATATGGTGATGACTACAAAATCTCTTTGAAGTGCATGCACAATGTTTGTGAGACAATCCAAAATTAATGACCTAAGGAATGCTTCCAATATCAGCATATACCTCTATGTCTGCTCACTAAACTCAGCTTCCCCACCACGCCACCATGTGGATAATTGGGTAAATCAATAAAATAAATGTCCAGCTCTGAGGGACATGTTGGACCCAAGCCAGGCAGCATCGACCCTGGCACCAGGGGATAATAACTTGATCATCAATACTTTTTATCAAAAGATTCCCAATCAAAAGGGGAAAAATAACAAAATAATAAGAATATTAAGAAGTTTTCATATATTGAGGTATATGAGGAAGCCATTCTGGTTTAAATCTGATTTGGTATAAAACTTGTTTTTCCCAGAGCAGCCTGACTTATGGCCCACCAAACAGCCACTGTACATCTGTTTCAAACATTTTCCCAAAGCAAAGAATGCACTCTTTAAAGATAGGGATGAATGTCTTCTTTCTCTGACACTATCAGTATTTCTTTGAAGATAAGTTTGTCTTCCCAGAGAACTACGGTCATGTTGACTTGCTATGTATGTCCTAAATTGTAGCAAAATATCTCATGACTTTTGGAAAAGAATTGAATTCCTGTTATGCTTGATGTATGTTTTTTTTCCTGAAACAGTTTCTAACCATGTTGTAAAACATACTTCTCTTGATTTCTTTCTTCCCTGGGGAAGAGAACACTTCTGGGCTTGTCTTCACATTAGTTCATTAGATATCTCTCTTATCTATAAATTGATTATTGATTATTTGTCTTGACAGAAGTTTATGTTGGAAAGATTTTCCCATTGTTTATTCTATTGCATGGTCTTTAGGAGTTCGTTGTGATGGATACAAGTTATATTTCTTTCTGTGTGTGTGTGTGTGTGTCTGTTTTGATGAGAAAGAGCCTTAATTTTAATATAATATGAAGTCATTTGATCCATATGGTTAATACATTCTATGTTGTTTAGGACATATTTTCTTATTATGAGATCATAGAAATAGTTTTGTTTATTTATGAAAATAGATTAAATCTTTAACATTTAGATCAAAAACCAGTGTTGACTGGTTTTATGATGTGGGTCGTGATTAAGACTTTTCTTTTTTCCAATATGGCTAGCAAATTTCAGCTTATTCTGGAAACGTTGTGTTATACTTTCTTTCCATTTGCTCTCACTTCTCATTGCTTTCTCAGGTTAAAACCACTTCATCCTGAGTGCTGACTTTTCCCTGAAATATACTGGTTCTCTCTCCATCTCTTCCTGTCTTGTGAAGCCTTGGCAATCAAACAGGAGCACACAATGCAAGTTGCTCCAGATGACCAAAAACTTCAATAAGGCTTTTGGCTCAGAGGAATGACTGTTGCCATAATATAAAGGAAAATGTGTTGAATGACAGAATAGCCTACAGGGACATGACAATAGCAATTATCTTCTTGGCACAGACTATAGTTGGAATTCTGGGCAATTTCTCTCTTCTTTACCATTATCTCTTCCTTTACCACACGGGATGCAGGTTGAAGGCCACAGATTTGATTCTCAAGCACCTGACTATATCCAACACTTTGATCATTCTCTCTAAAGGAGTCTCTCAGACAATGGAAGATTTTGGGCTGAAATATTTTGTCAATGATTTTGGATGCGATCTTCTTTTGTATGTTGACAGAGTTGGCAGGACTGTTTCCATTGGCACCACATGCCTCTTGAGTGTGTTCCAGACCATCATGATCAGCCCCATGAATTCCTATTGCAAGGATCTTAAAGTCAAAGTCCCAAGGTACATTGGCTTATCAATTTCCCTCTGCTGGATCCTGTTCATGTTTGTAAATTTAACTTTCCCTATGTATGCACTGTATGTGTCTAACAAATGGAGCATGAAAAATATGACAAAGAAAAGAGATTTTGGATACTGTTTTGCTATAGATCCTGAGATAACCACAGGTTCAATATATGTAGCATTAATAGTATTTCCTGAAGTTTCATTTTCTGTGATCATAATTTGGGCCAGTGGTTCCATGATTTTTACCCTGTACAGGCACAAGCAGCGGGTCCAACACATTCACAGGAAAAACATTTCCCACAGATCCTCCCCTGAGTCTAGAGCCACCCAAAGCATCCTTATTCTCCTGATCACCTTTGTATCTTTTCAAACCCTCTCCTCCATCTTTAACCTTTGTATTTCTCTAATTTATAAGCCTAATAGGTGGCTGGTGAAAACTGCTTCCCTAATATCTGGGTGTTTTCCAACTGTGAGCCCCTTTCTGCTCATGAGCCGTGACTGTACTGTATCCAGCCTCTTCTCTGCGTGGATAAGGAAAACAAAATTTCCTAGTCTTACTGGAAAAATGTAAATTGTATGCTTTGCACAATTCAGTTCTTTATTCACTCATCACGCTCAAAAAGGCAATATAGAATCTAGAGAGAAGGCACGTGTTTTTCTAAGAAAGACCCTATGTGTCTTGTCATTTCATCAGCTTCTTGACTATGGGACATATGTTGGAATAGTGGTGGTGAATAAAGCAGATTTGCCTCATTTTGATGACAAGTATCATGATGAGTGTAGTCTTAACTGAATTCTGCTTGAGACAAGAATGAATTTGGGCCTAGCCTCTGAATGAGATGATTCAGAGTGGTTGACCAAGTGGTGTACTTAAAGAATATTAGGCACAATGAACAAAGCTAGGATTGAGTGTTGGATATTATTGCGAGACATTACTCCATGGGTTTCCAAAGTATATGCATGTCTTCTTGTAAGTAGCACGGCCAGCTTTTATTCTGAATTGTATTTCATAGAAGTTTGTGTAAAAAAAAAAAAAAAAAAAGAACATTGGAATATAGGAATTGTGTCACCTTTTGGGCAGAGAACAGATTTTTTTGCTGTACAGGAAAATGAAAGGCCACAGCTAATGAATATCATTGCCCGAGGTGACACAAATTTTGGAAGTTCGAGAAGAAAGTTAAGCCTGAGAGGTCCCGTGTTCCTCAAGAAACATTAAGAGAAGTACTGAGGGCCGGACCCGTGGCTTAGCGGTTAAGTGCACGCGCTCCGCTACTGGCGGCCCCAGTTCGGATCCCAGGCGCACACCGACGCACCGCTTCTCCAGCCATGCTGAGGCCGCATCCCACGTACAGCAACTGGAAGAATGTGCAGCTATGACATACAACTATCCACTGGGGCTTTGGGGGAAAAAAAAAAGGAGGAGGATTGGCAATAGATGTTAGCTCAGATCCAGTCTTCCTCAGCAAAAAGAGGAGAATTAGCACAGATGTTAGCTCAGGGCTGATCTTCCTCAAAAAAAAAAAAAAAAGAGAGAGAAGTACTGAGACATAGTGGAAAACCTTCAAAAGTTACAGGAGGATCAGGGTCAACAATGGATCTGGTAACCACAACATGCTCTCTTGCTCTATGAATGCTACTTGGCAATGTACTAAGGAAGTCATTCCTTAAAATTCACCTGGCTGGTGAGTAGGAGCTAAAAATGGAGTTAAAGCCCCAGAGCCAGCTTCAAAGTTGTCCCACTACAACGCCCCTGCCTCATAACACTTGGCTTTTATTGTCTCCTGCCCCATATCCAGATTGTGGTGGTAGAAATATACGAGTTACCACATGCTATATAGCCTATTGGAGGGTAGAGGGAACAGCCAGGTGTAGTTATATCCCTCTGCCCCAAATATGGAGGCACGAAAGATCCTGGAGAAGAGTTTAACCCTTACTGCACAGACAGATGATCCTAGAAAATTGAAATCAGGAGAATATTAAGGGAAGAATGCAGAACTAGGATCTCCCATTCCAGATGGAAGAATCCACCTGCGTCATGCAAACATGTAGCAGAAAACATTGTGAGCAAGATAATCCATTCCTTGGAATGGAAAGGGCAAGCTCTTTTGAAACTTAAACTAGAAGAAAGGGTAGGCATATGTATCAGTCACTTCACCTCAGGAAAGAAATCACAGGAAATTATTTTACAAAAAGCCAAGCCAGTGTCAGACTCTGACAAAGTCCAAATCCACTTAAAATCAGAACTTTCCTCATGAACAGTAGAGACACTGAAACTCAGGAGAGCAAGACAGTCATTAGCCCTGTGGAGGATCAGAATTGGCCACCCCAAAATGTGTCTCTTTGCCTTGGCTTGATTATTTTTAAGAAGAAAAGACTGTGGAAGAAACTTTGGCCTTCCCCCTAGCTGTCTAAAAGAATTAAAGATAACAGGCCTTTGTCCAGTACAGGCCATCAGCATGAATAACTCTGTGTATCTGCAGACTGTGAGGGTCCTTGCTAAGCCCATCCTTATCAAAGTTCTGTTTACCAAACATTTGCTTTTCCATTTCCATGTGAATTGCCTTCCTCCTCTTTGAAGTCCCAAACCACTACCCTCAACATCTTCCTTTGTCTTTAGCTGAAAATGCTATTTAAGATAACAACCTCAGCCAGAACGCTGAGTTGCTCAGTTTTCCTGAGTCTCTACCATGTATACATGTTATAAAGCCTTGTTTGATTTTAATCCTGTTACTCTTTTTCATGTCAATTTAATTCATAGCCCAGCCAGATGGACCTAAATTGGGTAGAGGAAATCTCTTCCACCCCTACAGCCCAATCCTAGAGAAGAAACTGGAGTTTAGGCATAAACTGCATGCATGGGAGGAGGATCAGCTCTAGGAGTGGCTCCAGGCCCAGAGAGAGGCCGTGAATGTACGTGTTAGTGACTAGAAGTTATGAACAATGGACACTGATAAGGGCTTCATTCAACACCCAGAGAACCACCTCAGACAGTCAGAGATTTAACTTCCAAATACGTTCTCTCTCTCTCCTTCTTGTGTCATCCCCAAGGCTTCACAGGAAACCTGGAGTTGATTAGGCCAATCTAGGAACAGAGATGCAGCAAAGAGAAGAAGAGGTAAAGTCATTCTGAAAAGGAAATAGAGAGACCCACAGTAACTCTGATTTGGTTTGTTTTGCTTTTTCTGACCAACTCTTTGTTCTAATTCTGTTTTAGTAGACTCCGCACCTCTCTTTTTGGTATCCTTTCATCACAGGACCTATTATATTTACCGTATTTCTTTATTTTCTAGACTCTTAGAGATCTGACATTTGTGACCTTGATGACTAGGGAGTTACTGCCTCTCTCATGAGTAGCCAATTTTAGAAAGAGAAAAGGACTTGACAAAGGCATCCCTTTCGTATGCAGCCTAACCAATATGGAGCTCACACTCCTAACCATCTCCTTATCCAATTTTCACACTCCAAGCCTGTTTTTTCACTGCCCTAAAACAACCCAGGATCAACTATCAATTAGAGACAGTTTCTGTGCCCCAAGGTCCATGGGAATTATTCATACCAGCCAATTGTAAGCTGTCTGTCCTGTCTCGACTTTCCCCAGGAAACCCCAACAAAGGCTCTGGCCTAGGCTTTGCCTCCTCTCCTGCTTCTTTCTCCTTATTAATACATGATACTTTCCCTGTGTCCCTGCATGGTATATGGGACCTTCTTCTCAGAAAATATAAGTAATAAAAGTCATCTTTCTCAATGGAATAGAATCGAAAGCCCAGAAATAAACCCACACATCTATGGACAGCTAATCTTCAACAAAGGAGCCAAGAGCATAAAATGAAGACAGGAACGTCTCTTCAACAAATGGTGTTGGGGAAACTGGACAGCCACATGCAAAAAAATGAAAGTAGACCATTTCCTTACCCCATACGCAAAAATTAACTCAAAATGGATTAAAGACTTGAATGTAAGACCTGAAACTATGAAACTTCTAGAAGAAAGCATAGGCAATATGCTCTTTGACATCGGTCTTAGTAACATATTTTCAAGCCCCATGTCTGACCGGACAAGAGAAACAATAAACAAATGGGACTACATCAAACTAAAATCTTCTGCACAGCAAAGGAAACCATCAACAAAATGAAAAGACACCCTAACAATTGGGAGAAGATATTTGCAAACCATACATCTGATAAGGGCTTAATCTCCAAAATATATAAAGAACTCATGCATCTCAACAACAAAAAAACTAACAACCCAATTAAAAAATTGGCTAAAGACCCGAACAGACATTTCTCCAAAGAAGATATACAGATGGCCAACAGGCACATGAAAAGATGTTCAACATCATTAACTATCAGGGAAATGCAAATCAAAACTACAATGAGATATCACCTCATGCCCGTCAGAATGGCTATAATTAACAAGACAGGACACAACAAGTGTTGGAGAGGACGTGGAGAGAAGGGAATTCTCATACACTGCTGGTGGGAGTGCAAACTGGTGCAGCCACTACGGAAAACAGCATGGAGATTCCTCAAAAAATTAAAGATAGAACTACCATACAGTCCAGCTATTCCACTGCTGGGTATCTATCCAAAGAACATGAAAACACCAATGCGTAAAGATACATGCGCCCCTGTGTTCATTGCAGCATCATTCACAATAGCCAAGACTTGGAAGCAGCCAAGTGTCCATCAAGGGACGAATGGATAAAGAAGATGTGGTGTATATACACAATGGAATACTACTCAGCCATAAGAAATGATGAAGTCCAGCCATTTGTGACAACATGGATGGACAGTGAGCGTATTATGCAAAGTGAAATAAGTCAGAGGGAGAAGGGCAAATACCATATGATCTCACTCATTAAGTAGTAGAGAATAACAACAACAAACAAACACATAGAGACAGAGACTGGATTGGTGATTACGAGAGGGGAAGCGGGGAGGATGGATGGCGAAAGGGATAATTAGGCACATGTGTGTGGTGATGGATTGTAATTAGTATTTGGGTGGTAAACATGAGAATATGATGTAATCCATGCAGAAATAGTTGTATAATGATGTACACCTGAAATTTACACAGTGTTATAAACCAATGTTACCACAATAAAAAAAATTTTTTTTAATTAAAAAAAAAGAAGTAGCAAGAGCAGGAAAAAAAAGTCATCTTTCAGCAGCATTAGTCGCTCTGTGTTGTCACTCAGTCACTTTTATAAATTAAGACACAGTCACAAAACACTCTCCATGACAACAAATAGCAGACTGGTTTAGATGTGGTAAATACAAAAGCACAGGGATTTTACAGGAAGGTGAGGAGAATGCCCTTTGCGGGGAAAGACTAGTAGTTTTAGATTCTAAAAGCATTCAGGAACTAGAATACAAGGTCGAAAAGTCTAAGACCATAATATAAAGGCTCACACATGTGAAGTGTTTTCTATTTATCAAGTGCTTTCACAGGCAGAATGGCCCATGGGACTCACAATACACCTGTGAGGAATGCAGGCAACATGCCATCTAACCAGAAGATTCTGAGAATTAGCCAGGTTGCCAATATGTCCAAACTCAGGACCAGAAACTT